GGGATGGGGGGTTGGTGGTGGGGGAGGGGGAGTCGGTTGATCCTACCTGTAGGATAGTCAGCAGTTGTCAGCTGTGCTATTGTGTCTGCTTGTAGGAGTTTGATTGGTTTGGACCGGGAAAGAGAGAGAAAGACGTACTTGCAACATATCTGTTCCAACGGCGCTCATTATACGTATCCAGCCGCTAGCACGTGAAAACGCATCTTCTCGTTCCTTACTCCCGTCTTCCCAGCCCTCGAAGTTGCTAAAAGGCTGCAACATCATAATACTTAAACCCTTTTCCTCGCACAACCTCTTGACCTCTTTCCCAGCTTCACATAAACTGTCGTAGTCATCTTCCTTCACTTCTTTGCCTAGATGGGAAGAGGAGAAGGATAGGAGGTCGGGGAAGCCGAGTTCGATTGCTGTGAAGCCTGCTGAGGAGATAGCGGAGAGCTTTTCCGGGAGGGGGGTTGAGGGAGACCCGACGGAGACGGAGGCGTATGAAAAGGGGATTGAGGAGACGGAGGCTTTGGAATATGACACTTTGGGTAGACGGGAGAGCTTATTATGAGACATGATGAGTGAAAAGAGAAAGATAGAAGGAAATATTGGGAGCTCTTGATATATATAAGATGATCGCTGATGACGTATAGTGGAGAATGGAGGGGAATGTGCACGTGATGGAAGAGAAAGAAATACCTCGAGGTAGTGGAGCCTGGAAAACAGACAGTGAAATAGTAAGGAATGTAATAGAGGGGCGCTGAGAATGTGCTCGCTGTATGAAAAAGAAATGGGGAGAGTTTTGTAAGAAAATAACTGCTTGGAAGTAGCACGACATTGCCTCTCTATGGCATTTATACAACACCAAACCGGGGGAAAGCAATATACACATACCATATCATGCCTGTAAATACAATTGCCATTGCCGTTAGTTGGGTATCTCAAACACATACAAAACTCCAAACCAATCAAGCAAAATCACTTCCCCTCAAACGCGCTATCCTTGTCTATCGTCTCCCCAATCCACGCCCGTAATGCTTGGAACCTCTTCGTCGTAGCTGAAGGCTGAGGCTGGGGTGCCTCACCCTCCACCTTTGGTACAACAGTTGGCATACTCGCACTCGTATTCATACTCCCCATCAACAAGCCCAGATTCCTCCCAAACCTCTCCCTCTCCACCACCTCGACCTTCTCGCGCCGCCTCATCAGGCCCTTCCCACTCGTCAAGCTATCCATCTTGATCTTCCCTACCCCCGCCTTGCTCGCCCTGCCCGCACTCATCTCTTCTATATCAGGCAATGCATCCGCGAGAGAATCGAGATTAGATACTAGTTTCTTGGAAGGACGGCGGCGTTTGGAGGTGGGCGTGGAGTGTGTTTTCTCGATGCGGTGTTTGAAGAGACTGGATTTTATGGTTCGTTTGTCTTTCTTGGAGTTGGATGATAGGGATATAGGTCGGGATATGAGACCCGAGCCTGAGTTCGTGGTAGTGGTGGAAGCGGAAGTGGATTTCGAGGTCTTGGACCGGATGGAGGGGCGTTTTTTGGGTGCTGTGGGCGCCTGCTTGATTGTTAGCTTTTGCCTTGCCTTTATTTATGGGAATTGAGAAGTATATATATATACCATGCTTGCAATGTTCCTATCTATGCGAAGAATACAGCTCAATCTTTAGCTTTGAGGGCTGTTTGTAGTTGTGGTGGTGGGGTTGTCTGAAGTTTAAAGAAAGAATATTTTCCGAGGACCCTGATTTCAACTCGCAGTTCACAACCCCGCTAAAACACCATCAATGATGGAAGCAGCAACCACCAGCGCCTCAGCTCTACGAGCACAAATAGTAGCTACAGAGCAAGAACTCAGCAAGCTAAAAGAGCAACTGGCAAAGATTGAAGAAAAAGAGACGTCCGTAAATGAGATACCGGTAGAGCCCGTGACGTCGAAATGGCCGTTATCACAAGAAGAATATACACGCTATGGCCGGCAGATGATTGTTCCTAGTATTGGAATTCAAGGTACCTTATACTTCTTCTCTTCAATACCTAGCTTAATCTAGCATTTATAATATATTGATGACTGATCTTTTTATTCATAGGACAACTGCGACTCAAAAATGCAAAAGTCCTCATCATCGGCGCAGGTGGACTCGGCTGCCCCGCCGCTGCATACCTAGCAGGTGCTGGAGTAGGCACGCTAGGAATCGTAGATGGCGATACAGTCGAGCTATCGAATCTACACCGACAAATCCTGCATACGACTGCGCGGGTCGGGATGAAGAAAGTCGATTCTGCAATCTCATACCTATCCTCGTGCGCCCCCTTTTCCCCCACCCTCCCCCTGCCTCCCTACTATAGTACTTATCAGCAAACCAAGTCACTAACCAACACACAGCTTAAACCCCAACCCAACATACACCCCCCACCCTACGCACCTGACCCCCTCAAACGCCCCTTCAATCCTAGCACCCTACGACGTAGTCCTAGACTGCACCGACAACCCCGCCTCCCGCTACCTCATCAGCGACACCTGCGTGCTCCTGCGCAAACCCCTCGTTTCCGCCTCAGCGCTACGCACAGAGGGCCAGCTCATCGTGCTGAACCACCCGGCGTTGCCCGCTGGCAACGAGCTAGGCGGGCCGTGCTACAGGTGCGTGTTCCCGAAGCCGCCGCCGGTGGAAAGCGTGGTGAGTTGTGGGGATGGGGGCGTGTTGGGGCCGGTGGTGGGCGTTATGGGGGTTTTGCAGGCGGCGGAGGCGGTGCGGTTGATTTGTGGTGGGGGGTTGGGGGGTAGTGGGGTGGAGGGTAGGAAAGAGGGGAATAGGCTGTTGATTTTCGGGCAAAATGGTGAGCCTCAGTTTCGCAGTCTTAAGATGAGGGGGAGGCGGAAGGGGTGTTTTGCGTGTTCGGGGGAAGGGGGATTAGGGTTGGAAAGTCTTAGTTCTGGATCACTGGATTATGTTTTATTTTGTGGTCTTAGTGCGCCTGTTAACATCCTGCATGATGACGAGAGAATATTGCCACGGGATTATGATGAGGTTAAGAAGAAGGGGGGAGAGCATTTGCTGGTCGATGTTAGGGAGAAGGTTCAGTTTGATATCTGTAGTATTGAGGGCTCGATAAATGTTCCGTTTTCGAGGATTCAGAGGGGAGAGGGGCTGGGAGATGGTCTTGGCGAGGATGAGAGGCCGGTATATGTTGTGTGTAGGCTGGGGAATGATAGTCAGGTTGTGGTGAGGAAGTTGAAGGATGCCGGGTTGGAGAGGGTGGTGGGGGATATTAGGGGTGGGTTGAGGGCTTGGAGGAAGGAGGTTGATGCGAGTTGGCCTGAGTACTAGAGCGCTCTTATATATATTGAAGAAAGAGATGAAAAGCGGATTCAAATGCTTCATTTTATGTATCGCTACAATACAACAAAAAGGTCACAATGCCTTTTCCCGCGCATGATATTGCTCGGATTCCATTCCATGGCTAATTCCAACAAAAGAAACGTGGAACTGTAAAGTGTTTCCTCCCATCCGTATCTACTACATTACCTGCCTCAAACAAAATGACTCCGTTTCCGGTTGAACGCTCTCTGATCCTTCAGCCACTGTCGATAGTCGGCTACACTCCCAATTTTCTCTCCATAATAATCTATTCATGCAATTAGTACCTTCTTTCTCACCATTTGGTCTTTCGTTTTATTTCGAATAAAAAGCAAACTCACCAGGCACTGGATTCGCCGCACTGCTCGCGCTCGGATCAACCCTAAACTTCTTGATCCTCCTATAAAACTCCCTCTCCTTCTGATCCATCTGGTCTCTCACGCCCCTATTCCGCCAATTGAACATACTCGTCCCCACAATAGGCCCAACCAGCCATCCAGCCCCGCCACACAGGAAAGTTATGATACCCAACGTGATGAAGGGATCGAGGGGGAATTGCGAGACTAGTGAGTCCATGTCCGAGGCGAGTAGGATCTCAGCGCCGCCTACGAACGAGGTGAGGGATGTGGTTATGGAGGAGCCGAGTTGGTAGCGTCGCCGAGTCTTGCGGAGCGTGAAGAATGTGTTCCAGGATAGACGTTCTTGGTCTGAAGGCCGGGGACTTGGTTTTGCGGGTCTAGTTGTATTTGTAGATGCTGCTGTAATTGGTGAAGGATTGGGGACTGAAGAGGCATATCTGACTGAGATGGAGCTGGTGCATATTGCGGGTTTCTTGAAAGATACATGGCGTTTTGAGAGGGGCACTCGGCATGTAGAGGAAGAGTCTTGTACTCGGAGAGGGGTATGTGTACTGGTATGGAACGAACTGGTTGTAAGGAGTGTGGGTTGCAACCGGCAGCTCATTGCTGCGGTTCGGAGGGTGGGCGCTGTGTAGAGCATATTGAGTGGAGTGGTGGTTTGTTGACTTGAAGAAGTCGTTGCGAATGACAAGTTAAGGTGGGCCGATGCTAAAGCTTCAATGTCTTGGCGCGGAGAGTTGCGCTTAGGCGGTTGTTGGACCAATGAGATGAAAGATCTGACTTATATACAATTATTGTATTCAATTATTAAATTGGAGCATCGCAAAAAGCATCCAAACTCGTTTGTATTTAGTAGAACAAACCACTTAAAAATCCACCTCTCTATCTTCTGCCGATAGGATTCTAACATCAACTCTCCACTTTCTTGTCCTTTGCTTGCTGAGCTTCTTAACTTCTTGGATGCTCATTCTCCTATTTGTAGAAACGACTAATTGAATGTTGTTTCCAATCCGCCATCTCCATTAAAGAGCAAAAACACATTTATCACAACTATTTTTTTCAAGCTTTTCATACCCTTGAGGTTTGCACTACCTCAAATCACTCCCACGTGACAGCTGCCAGTTGTGTATTCACGGTCACCGGACATCGCGTATCAAACGGCCTCCCCTCGTCGATTAATGTAAGTTCACGCGTCTTTAATTCAACCCACTTCAAGAAGATGGGACAACGTCCCATGCACGGCCTGTTCCCATCTTCTTAATACCAAAGAGGCCATGTTGACAAAAGATCAACCAGGCTCAGGCCGCAAACGAGCTTTCTTCGACTTCGTTATTGCGCAACGACCCGTCTACGTCCCAAATTCCGGTCCACCTTTGGCGCCAATATCAATCATGCCTGCTCACGACAAGGACGGAATCATTCTTGATACTCTCCAACTTGATGGAAGCCACGTATACGTCGTTGGTTTCCAGGATAAACCTCAGCTTCGAATATCTGTCAAACCTGAGAATCTTCGCAACTGGGTTTCAGAGAGGACTCATGAGCAATGGGAGCGTGATCAAGTCCAAATGAAGAAAGATGAGGAGCAGAGGATTAGGGATGAGCAGAGGAAACCCAAGAAGAGGTCATCATCACGTGAGGCTGTACAGGCTGGCGTCAAAGGCAAGGGACAGAAGCGGAAACGTGCTCCCTCTCTTATTGAACCACCACCCGCGAGAAGAGCTTCTATGCTTGGAAATACGCCTATTCTTCCGCCTCCTTCTGGTCCCAGTCGAAGAAGAAAGCCGGCTGAGGAAGAACCCGTTTTTGCTTCTCCAAAAGCTTCACAAAAGTCGCAGGGCCCATCCCTCTCTACCCCCGTCAAAGGACTAGGCTATCTTGACACAGATGAAGACGAGGAAATGGATGACGGTGCCGCTCTTGCTTTGCAGCTAAAAGGTGGTCTCAGTCGCTCTCGCTCGACTACTGGAACATCTCGTCCTTCAAGTCGAGACCATTCTCATGTGGACGGTAATAGCGCTGTCGCCAGTATATCTAGTCGAGCTGCCCGTCAGACCTACGAGGACCTAGATGCTAGAAGCAAAAAAGGCAATACCGAAACCATCGCTAAGAAATACTCCAACTTGAAAAAGCCCTCCTCAAAATTCTCCCCTCGGGCTGGAATATTCTCTCCACCTAACGTCCACGGCAAAAACTATCAAGCTGGCTCGCCATCCAAACCTTACAAATCTCTCCATACAAATGCCACCAGTCCCAAAAATGCAGCTAGTCTCGCACGCGAGTACGGTGTTGACGATGAAGAAGATGCAGTTGAGCTCGTTGTCGTCCTATCCGAAGAAGACGACTCGGATGAGGCTGAGTATGATGTTGAAGAGATCTTGGACGATGAAGTGCGTAAGGGTGCCGATGGTAAGCGACGCTTACACTACCTCATCAAATGGGTTGGGAGCTGGGACAACACGTGGGAGCCGGCCATTCATGTCGGGCAGGAGTCTATCAACGAATATAATAAGATGAAGGAGAGGAAGACGAAATTTAATGGTAGTCATGGGAAAAGCATAGACATGAGGGCTCTTGTTGAAGATGCTAGCGAGAGTGATGGGAGTGGTAATGAGATGTTCGTTACTGATAGGAAGGGGAAGGGGAAGGCTGTCGAAACTCCTACTCGTGGTCAGGTCATCGATGACGATAGCGCTGATTCTGACTGAGTGACGACTCTCCTCAACGCTTTCGATGAAAGTTTGGCCGTCAACGAGGTCATTTGCGCCCACCAGACGACACTCCGGAAGCAGCGGACCAACAGCATCCTAGCGATTGAAGATCTATGGATGGGATAGAAGAACTGGTTCTACTTTTAGCGACAGTGGTGCTTCAAGCAGCTCATACATGCACACATATTTTATAGGGGACGGTACACATATGATGTTACAAAGGCCCCTCTGAGTCCCCGACCTTTTGCGAGGGTCATGAACGAATCGATACGAAATAAGCAACTGCATATACCCCAAGGATAGTATCGCGCGCAGAATCTCACGACGTTAATGAATCCCTGTCTACTCATCTGTGCACCACCCTAAGTTTCTTCGGTCCAGTGGCCACATTCTGTTGCATTTCGCAAATTCGCCGCTTGATTCTGCTAATATTGATTTGATACCTCTGACCTCGACTGACTGCCATGGCAGAGTCGTATCCGGGCAACTTTTCCAGCTTGATTGGTTCCTTGTCTGCACTTTGTCGGATTTATTGTTTTCGTTTTTGCTACTGGTTACCGAGTACTGAGATCTGCAGCGGAATGCTACTGTAATATCTGCAACTCAGCTGATTTGATTAACAATACCTCAAGATACCACCCCATCAATCAATTTTACCCCGCAGCCTTATCAAATCATATTGATGTGTATGAGGCTCTTACGGGTAATTAATGAAGATAAAGAACATACATCTCCGCAGCCTCGCCGAAGGACTTGCACAGATGTTGCTTTATGCGTCAAGTATTCCATGGCATGGCGGAGATATTGGCGCTTTTCAGTAGTGGTGTAGCTATCTTGCAAGTAGCAGAGACAGCCACCAAACTATCGCGGAGCCTGTTCCGTCTCGCGCGACGAATCAGGAGCGCAAGCAAGGAAATCGAGGACTTCGCAATGCAGACACAGGAATTTGCCGGGGTCATAGGCGCTGCTCATATGTCTCTCCAGAACCATAATCGAGCGCAGGGGTCCGAGTCTCCGGTTCTACAGTTCCTAGACAACGTGAGCGTATTTAAAAAACTCGTTACGGCTTCTGAGCGCGTCACTGAATATACGGAGGCTCTCATGCCGCAGCTGCGCAGTCTTCCCAGTCGTCTGGATCTATTGACTCGGTTAAAATGGGTTATGCAAAGGGAGGCGGTCGAGGCCATGGGGCCGAGAATGGAGTCTGTGAAGACGAGCCTTATGGTTGTCATGATGGTCATTTCTCTAGAGCAAGGAAATCAACAAGAGCTATCGGCTCAAGGAGCAGTACAGATTAATGAGCTTCGTCAAGAGAAGTGGGTATTGCCTAATTCATCCCTCTTCTCTGCTAATTAATATCTTCTAACAGCAAGTATCTGAAAGACCTTGTCAAAGGTCTAATGCGAAATCTGACTTTGCAACAAGAACGCGAACGCGAGTACTGGCGCCAAGAGCATCGGTTTTCTTCCTCCAAATCTCTCGTTCTGCCGGAGCCGGGTATAGAAGACACCTTGGTGGAACTTGGGGATAGTATGGTGCGGACTGGGACAGTCCCGACCACAATCCCGGATCCGAGACGAACTTCAGTGCGGTCTACAGGCCGGCGGCGCACGCATCGTGAGAATCGGCCTCCCGCGCAGCCGCGAGAGACGTCGCACAGACATCGTCGGCGTAGATCGCATCCGCATGCAAGTGCGGGTGCGGATGTGCCACCAGCAGCTCCGCCCCCGCCGTCTCCTGCACCCCGTGAGGTCGGTGTCGATT